CACGAGTTCTGACTCCCTTTCTTCTTTATGTACGTGCTCCTTTTTTTTTTTTTTTTTTGGTCAGTTTTTCGTAGACTCGGGACACATTTGTGATAGATGAGCGAGGCGCACTGCGATACGCGACACTTTTAATACATACATCGCGGGTCGGTTTAGCGAAGCTATCTTGGTTGGTCCGAGCTGGCAGAAAACGTGCGAGATAAAAGGCACAATTATGAGAGTTATGGGGTATGTTGAAAGGTGGACGTGCTTTTCCGTGCTTCATGGATAATACTGATTAAATTGATTATTTATTGCGATACGTATAGTACTCATTATATACATACATTAATTTTTTTTACAACTACAGGCATGAACTGTAATTTATTTTTACTCAGTTGTCGATTGATCTTTAAAAAATTTATAATTATTCTATTCTATCCTAAAAAACTGATTGACAACTAACAGTAGCAGTTTTTTATTAGTTGTATCATTGGTTAAGACGATCGTGTTTGCTGATGGGGTTTGCAAAATTTAAATTTGATAATGATCCGAGTAAAAGAAACAGCCATTTGATTTGTGTCAATATGAAATCGAATTATATGTAGTGCACGATTGTATTTTACAATTTTATCAAGTCCCTGAAATATCATGCGTTATACCCTACGTGTTTTTATTCAAGAAAAAAGTTTGTACGTACGAGCACTGAATAACCATTTCACAGATGCGGACATACATTCCGCTGTCTAGAGACTTTTTACAAGTAACCTAATTTTTACTACGATGATAATTTCTATTGTACTAACAGTAAAAATCGTTGTACTTACGATAAAACTTTATGTTCTAAGCAGTAAAAATTATTGTTGAAACACAGTAATTTTTATTATTTTTTTCTTTCAGTGTACATATACTATCATTCTCGAATTTAAATAATTATTTTTTTGCACATTGCAGAACATAAAAAAATTTTTTTTTCAATATACACATCATAATCTTTAATATACATATGTGTAATTTTATCTTGAAGGGTATCGTGAAGTTTGCATACCATGACAGCCTACACGATTCATTGGTAATTGTTCATGACATGTATCAAGTTACCTTGAACTTTGCTGTAGTATAATCTACTGCTAGTTTCTAAAATTGATGATTCCATGATCGAAAATTATTGTTATCGAACGTAGAGTCCAATCATTAAGATTTCGATGCACTTATCATTTCCCGCGTAAAAATTTTTACGTTTGGCCTAACTTTTGCCAAAGTTCATGTGGCCAACGTTTGGCCAAACTTTGGCCAAGCTTGGGCAATGAGAAAATCGCAAACTTGGATTTTTTTTGGAATATTTGACTCAATATTTTTCGTAAGTCGTATATGCATTACATGTTGAAGCGTGTATGTAAGATTTGTTATTGATTAATCCATTATTCATAGCGATAAATCAAGTTCATCGCGCGTTATTTCTGTTTATGAGTGTTTCCATCTCTACAGCGTTAAAAAAAAAAAAAACTATACGTTTGAGTATTTTATCATCCTGACCTTCTTTGGTTAAAGTTCTAACACATTATAATTGATATGTCAATGAAAAAAGAAAAGGAAAGAAACTGTTAAAGTTCAACTGGGTGAATAAAGAGATACACTCGATTAATAATTAAGTTTTGTAATATAAATGCTGATAACAAATCTTTTAATAAAAATAAAAAAAGGTTATTTCGTAGTTAAAAATAATTATTAGTTATATGCAAAAATAACTTGTACACCTCATTTACGATTATGAAATTACATGTATCATAATCACAGCTATAAAAAATCATAAAACTATGCGTAAGTTATAAATGTTGTAGAAAATGTTTCTATGATTTAAACACTAAAAATTAATTTTCTTAAATCAGCAGCTTTGAATAAAATATACAAACTTGAATATACTAAAGATAACTTATTGTTTCAATTTATTTTTTGTTGTTAATATTGCAATAATTAGAGTGACAGTTAAATCTTATAAATTTGACTGCAATAATTTATACTTAGTTGGTAAAAAAAGATGAAATTCTCACCCTTTCAACTTCAGAGAATATCAGATAAAATCTTGTGTTTTTGTACGTACAATTGTGATTTACATCTTAGAAACATTTTTACATCTATAACATTTAGGTTTTCCTCCTCTACGAAAGACCATTTTCACAGTACATTTCCTCAAAGCTAGATAATTTTTCTCTCCTTTCGGAACGTGTCTTTGTTTTTTCACTAACGATCTGTCTTTTTTTTTCTTTTTTTTCTTTTCAATTAGTTTCAGTTTCGAGCATACAAGCGGGTACTGCGGGTGGACAGGTGAACAAAACATTGACGGTAAAAAGGGAACATCCTGTCGCGCTCGGGCCGAACACTTGGGCATTCATGTCCCTACGTGTCCAAATTCTCTTTGAACATTTGTGGTGCATAAATTTGTACGAGTGAGCCTGCAGGCACTCAAAGAGGTAAAAAAAAAATTTTTTAACTCGAATTCGTTTTTTTTACTTGATTGAAATACCTAATTGTAGAAAATTAGTATCTACGAAAAATTATAAATACGTTTAACACGTGATCATAGTGCGTATTTAAAAAAAAAATTTTGCTTTACGTACAAGTATGCTGTTATCACTGGTGCACGGGTTGATTTCTAAATTGATGATAGGAAATCCAAAATTATAAAACTGTTTATTTTCTTTCACACTCACTAGATCTCATTCATTACGAAATTTCGTAATGAAATTTAATTTATTGAAATATTACTTAAGAAAATAAATAAGTTGAGCTACGTATTCACATAGACTACTAAGAAAAAAACAACTATTTGTTCGTTATTCAAACGAGCATGATGATAATTTAAAGCACTTTTTTGATAAGGATAAAATTAACGGCAATGACGGGCCTTGACCACAGCTTTATAATTAAGCTATTTTTTTTCGATAATCGTTGAAAACGCAATGGTACTGTTATTTTCTTGTCAAAGTGTCATTATATTTTTTTGCTAGTTAAATAAGCGCCTATTACGATATGAGCCACCCATCAGAAGGTAATACATTGTCTGGCAATTCGATAGCAAACCTGTTTCGGCTGTTTAAATTTGGTCTGTTTAGTTTTCTTTACATTACTGCAATAAGTGTAGAATGTATTTTTTTTTTTCCGATTCTTACAATATTGTTCTGTACGTAATGTATTGGATAACTAAAGCAGATTTTTTATCATGCCGTACTTAAACACAATTCGAAAAAAAATCAACTACTGAAATCAATAATTTAAAAAAAACTCTGGGAAGATATAAAAAGTCCACCTTCTGTAATATTGTACTACTCGTCAGATCCTGTTTACCGATACCTTTTTACCCAAAGAATGACGATTTCTTTCAAAAGTGTAGGCTCTTGAATTTCTGTTCATTAAATCGTTTAACTCTAGCTTTTCAACTTCCATTAAAGAAACAAAAAACAAAGGGAACCATAGTACGTCCAGTAGAAAAACAATTTTTTTTTATCAAAACGCAGCTGAAATGTATTAAAATGCATCTATGCAGCACTCACGAGAACGCCCTTAATTTTACTCCCACAGTAAGAACACTTTGGTTGACGCTCTTAACCAAGAACACGCATACACACTAGCGGTGAGAGCGCGAGAGAGAAAGAGACGGCCTCTCCAGCGGGAGACGTCGCCGAAAACGCATATACTCGCGCGAGACCAAGCGAAGGGCCGATCCTTTGTTTGCTGCGGTGCTCCGAGAGATAGTCGTGAAATACGCCGGTCCTTCCGCGAGTGAGAGCACCTTTTTAGCTTTTAAACTCTCGAAAAAAAAAAAAAAAAAAAAAAAAAAGAAAAAGAAAAAAAAAATTCGAATTTCTTTTACGTTCAACGCACCGCTGCTTCCCATACTCGGGCACGAGTCTTCATTTGAATTTTTATTCACGAAATTTCAATACGATGCATTTTCCGACGCGAGCGCCGCGATCTTTTTGTAATTAATGCGCTGCTTAATGTGACTTCAACTATAAGTATAGCGATTAGCATAGGGCGTGAGATATTAATATTATACATCTTTGTGATACAGTTTTGTATGAATTTTCTTACAAACTTTGATGCACCAAATGTACATTTTAAAAAATGTTGGAAGGGCTGATATAATTAACGTTCCGTAAGAATCCAATACTAGAATAAATAGTGCAGAGAAAAAGTTAAACAGCTTATTTATTCAAATTCTGCCCGAAGACAACATGCTGGTTTTTAATTATTGTGCCTGAATAGTAGTTAGCCGTGGTAAGAGGTAAGTACCCGCATAAAACATTACCTGGACGTATTGCGGTCTGTAAACATTACAAGAAAATGTTTAATTGTATGGTATACAACGACGCATCGCTCCGTGTTCTATAGGTACTAGTTACGCCTTTGTTATCAAGCAGTTTTTTATTTTAAACTATTTATTTATTTCATTTTCATTATTTAATATATAACATTATTCGAGTTGGAAGAGTTTTTCAGAAGTGTAGAAAACTTAATTTTTGATAATTAATTTCCTGGATAATGTTTTGCGACTGACAGTATATTGTACAGTATATATTAATATTACAGTTACATTAATATTTTTGATCATTAAAAAATATTTTTAAATCATAGATACTTTTCGTTTTTCACTGAATTTAGATTTTTCACATAATATTGTTTGAGGAGAAAAATAATTTTTGGAAAATTAAAACCGATTAGCAAAGTCTCTGTGACAGAAAGTGAATTTTTTACTAATCAACGTATAATGCAATTTGTATGAAAAAATTGTTTCCAGCTCACTAAATATCCTTATTTCATATTTATACAATCTGTTTGGGGTAAAAACTTACCTAGCAGTAAAATTAGTTGTTAAAAGAAATAAAACTCTTGAAGCTATCGGAATATTACTTCATTGATTTACTTGTGCAATTCACAGGATTATTATTGAAGTACTTGTAGGTAAATAGTACAAAAGTAAAATTCAAGACAATAAATAATCAAGTTCTGCCTATACTTACAGGTTCGTTGGATCTCGAGCGAAACTCCACGACCACTTTTTGTAACTCATTGTTCTGTTTTCGAAGTATCGATATCTGAAAAATATTTTTTCAAGGTATTATTCACATGAATTGACTCAAGATCATGATTGCTTAAACTATTTAAACCGTAAACTGAAAAGCTTCAAACCATTCAACATTTTATTTTACAGTACACATCGCACACGTTGAACAAAATAAACCAAGAACTCGTAAAATACATATCATAAATCCTAAAAAACTTTTTAACACTTTTTTTCTCCCTTCGTCTACTTCACCACACGCAGTAAAACACATACCTACGTCAATAAACACATGCGTTTGCACGTAGCTGTGAGGCCAACTTATATTCACAGCAGGAGGGTTCCAAACATATATACATGTCGAGCCAGTACAGGATTAAATTTAAAAAAAAAAAGAAAAAGGAATAGAAGGGATTTGTAAGGACCAAAAAGTGATAAGGACACACTGTGCGTGTGTACTCGAAAAAGGGCGACTCGAGCAAACAACCAAAGAAGAGAGAGAAAAAAAAAACCGAGGGTGAGGGACAGTTTACCAACAGTACGGGCACTCTTTTTCGCTGCAAGGAAGTTCTGCTTCATATAGTTTTGACGGAAAAGCATGTTGGGAGGCATAATGGTACGCAAGTCGTGGCCGGGAGTTGGTTCTCTCTGTTTGCTGCCCTTATCTTTCTCTTGGATTTACGCTGCGATAAGAGTCGCTGCTGCAATAGCCTCCCTTCCACAGAGGCTGAGGTTGTGCCGTTGACGCTGGTACGCCTGTGTGTATAGTGCACCTTTTCTAGCCGGCTGCTGATGCTTTTTTTCCCTTTAAGGGAAGAATACTTTTTTTTTAGGGGGGGGGGGCAGAAATAAATGGCTCAAACATTTAATGCTTCGTCAGCCACGATAATGTTCGTTTTATATGTCCGATAATTATCTGCACAGGATGAAAAATCCTATGAGACAAGTTGTCATTCCTGGGTACTTTATCGAGATCACACTGCATTCAACTATAGGAATAACGAAAAAATTGAAGCAGTATAAAAAATTACAGATGATCCTACAAATTTCTTCTTTCATACGTGTATGGTTCGTAATCGCAAAATCTGTCGGTGTGGGCGGAAAAAATGATCAGTTCAAAGTATGGGCATATGGCGAAATTGTGCTTCCATTCAACAAAGTGTGCTAAACATTTTCTAAATTTTTATTTTTGTTGAATAACATTGATTGTTTATATCTTGACTTTTTCATGTATAAATTATTAGATCTTAACAAGTAAAATTAAATTATTAATTTTGATAACAACACCTAAACAATTAAATTAAATAATCAGATGAAAAAGTTTTTGGTTAATAATTCAATTCAATGGTTAATTTGAAAAATTTTTAAACAACAATTAAATTTAATGGTTGATTGAAATAAATTTCGATTTAGAATTAAGTTTTCATGTCAATTGTTTAATTGAAGAATTACATATTTTACAAAGAAATAAAATTTTTCTATAAAAAATATATCAATGCTTATTCTAAATGAATAAGTAACTTTTTCATGTAATACAAATAATTTTTATTACGGAAGTCACAATAAATAGATTACAACATAAATACATAATAATTATATCTCTATTACACTATTCATTTATACAAACATGTATTTATTACTAAAATTGCACACTTTACGAAAAAATTGCAAATGAACTTTTTTATTTAAAATAATAAGTTTTGCAATATTTCTTAGTTATAAAAAGTAATTATTTTTCATTGAAAAAAAAAAAAAAAAATGATATTTGATAATTGTAAGGCATGGCAATATTCATGTATGAAGCTAATGGAATGAAACTTGGCGCCCAGACTACTCGACTAACTGCTTACAAAAAAGTAGAAATAACGAGAAAAATAACTAGTTTATGGTAAATAACTAAACATATAATATATATGATATTGCATGGCAAAAACTGTACATTATTTCAGACTCAAAGGAGCCAATGCAAAAACCGACAATATGTCCATTACAAAGATAACAAATTAAGTTCAGAAGTATACAACACTGTTTAATATTTCCATTTCGTACGCGTTTTGAGATATCGTTATCTATGATGTGTACACATGTGCACGTGACAGAACAGAAACTTTAGAAAAACTGGTCTTTTTCCTACCATCGGCTATCTTTGCGTTTTTTTACCTGTAACGATAGCAAAACGAGGAAGAAGGTGCATTTGCGATAACGACGCCGGACGCAGCAATAACGTGCCAATTCGTTGTTGTTAACCGTATAAACCTTTACGGTCTCGTTTCTTCTTTCGAGCGACGAAGCGCAACGAGTATACGATAGCATTGTGCGGGAAAACGACGAATAAAGTAAACTGAAGCTTTTTAGTATAAGCAAAAAGTTGTTTTAATTAATGAGCAGCATTTAAAAAATATTTATGCTTGAGGTATAAATATCAATAAATTGACGGATAAAACTCTTCGTGATTCTATATTTGTTCGTTTAAAGACATTCTGCTTTTAAAATATAATAAAGAAATTAACTCACAGGAAAACAGCTGGCAAAAAAATATCTACAAAAATGAAAACGATTGAAAATAACATGAGTCTTTATTTTATGTTAGTAAATTTTCTTTCTTTTAATTATTTTCATGTAATTTTAACTTGAATTAGGATCTTGACAATTTTATACCACATAATTGAAAATAAGCCAATCAAACACTCTCGAAAGCGAGGCTTCATTTAAACCTTAAAATGTAATAAATTTAAAACACAGCTCGTATACTCGACAAAAATGAAACATGAATTTATGAAAAAAAGCTTGAATTTTCGAAGAAATTATCTCTGAAATTTTATGAGTGATTCAATTGAAACTTTTAATGTTTGGGAAAACAAAAAACTTATTATGTGAGAGCATCGTACGCAAAATAAGACTTTTGATAAAATTAATTGTATGATAACACTGTTGGCATCAGGAATTATACTAAACACCCTGTACGTGAAATTGTTCGTAAAGTTCTAATATCTTAATACCTCGTTTAATAAATTAAAAAGTAAAAGTTGAGCATGTTTGCTCTGCACTCTGCTATTGTTTTCATTGGATAAAAGTAGACATCTGTTAAAATATTACGGCTATCGTCAACTAATAATCTTATCTTTGTGGCTGTATAAACACATATGGTGGAAGGACTTTTATGAAACCACACAAAAGGGGTAGATAGATAATAAAGGACTAATACATTTTAAGTATAAAATAAAACCTGCACGATGCACCAATATGTCAAGGACAATGAGGTGTACTATGATATCGAATTATTTATTATGTAATAGTCAAGAAATCTAAGAGGATATTTTTTTATTAAAAAATAATTCAAGAACAAGATTGTTTGGGCCATAATCTAGAAAAAATCCAAAATTTACAACAAAGTAAGTAGTTGAATATCGACGTATAAAAATTGGAAAAATTGTAAAATAAGACCCTGTTCATTTCATCTCCAAGAGCGTCCTGAAGTACAGCACAAGACAATATGCTCAAATTCTTATGGCAATCTTCATAGTTTTTGTTTTCTGATTGCTTGAGAGAGAGAGCTTATTTTGTTTATTATTTGTTTCAAGTGTCAACGTAAACTTACGCACCCTACTAACGAACATGCATCTGTACTCACGGTAATATAGTCCGATTGTTCTATTATGCACAAAAAATGTACTTACCTCTGCTTCCTTCGAGTTCAGCAGCTCCTGTAGCTGATTGCATTTGGCGTTAGCCTCATCCAGATCCTTTGTACGATTTTCATCTAAAATAATAAATTTTTATAATTTCATTTCCGCCAAGTAATTCACCAATATATTTTACTACGAATGAAAGAAAAAAAAATAGTTTGGTATTCGAGAGAAAGAACTCACATAATTTTTGCAACAAATAGTGGATAAGATTAAGTAGGGTAAAAGAAAAATGTTATTTCACTGAGCCAATTTTTAAAGAATTTTCAATTTCCCACTGAACTATGGAACCAAAAACAGTCTTGCTATGCGGTATAAAATGGCACGAAAGTCCCTATGGAATTCTCGACCGATAAAACAGATCAGTGTTTTGACAGTGGTCAGTAACCCTACAGATAGTCAGAACGAGAGAGTAGATACGTCACAGAGTCACACGTGAAAGGGCTCGGCTGCTACACTACAGGCGACAAGCAACACACAATTCACAGGCTTACCTGAAATTTCGTTGATAATGCCGTCGGAGAGGACTTCCTTGGTGAAGTTCGAGATCTGACCCTTGAGGCTCGATAGGCTGGACAGGCCTTCACCGAGCCACGCCATTGCCTTAGCTGCTGCAGGCCCACGTCAACACTTTATTTGCACTCCTAACTTCGATTCTCTAATGTCACTACTACACTAGCTTTGCAGAAAGGTGGGCTAACATTTTTTTTCGCCTGGACAGCTGGGATATGATATGAAACGATCGCACTTTAATGACAATTCTAAACACAAACACACTCGCGCGATAGCAGCACCGTGAAGCTGCTGTTGCAAGTCTTATTGTATATATGCTTACGCTGGGGGACTCGTTGACTGACACGCCTGAATGTCCCTATAGGTGATTGTTGACTTTTGGTGTTTGATAAATATGCCACGTTACAGATTGTGCTCTCGAGATTACGATTTCTCATATCAAATAGATTTATAAGTAGGTAGTTGTATATTGTTCTTTTGTTGTTTGCTGTTCCAGTAGAATTGTTCAGTTGAATTGTTTACATTTATGTCTTGCCTGACCGTTTGTTGATAGAGCAGGAGGTTCGCTTACCAACGATTGTAAGTGGCATTGATGTAGAGTTCTACCATTCCACTGTACGATAATTCTATCGACTGGAATAAATTTCTTTTGTATCTACTGTGTGTCTGAATTCGTTCGAATAAAAATAAGCCGCAATTAACACATGGATGTGGATGGATCCGCCAAAACTATCAAATCGTATCCATAGGTAAATTACGCTCGCTCATACGTTCGTACAAAAATAAATTTAGATATTTTAACAATGTGGAGTTGTATTAAACGTCATAAAATTTTTACATCTTGCGGCTTTAAACACATACAATTATCACCATTTTACGAAGAAAATTAAGAAAAGAGTCACAATGTCGGTTCCAACTCCTATGGAAAACTTAATGTTGCTCACCAAAGCTTCTCACAGCGATGCATGATGCTTTTATCCTGAATACTTACTTGCATATCACTATGAACTGTAGTAGAGTAGAAGTATGTACCTACTATAGATTTCTTGAAGGTAGATTTTTAAAGTCTGTATTTTTGGGGCTCGTACTATACTTAGCCAAATTATTAACCACTGAGGGTTTTCACTGCATACTTTTTAAGGACGTTAATCACTATTAAAATACACGTTATTCAATTTTGTAGTGTCATTTGACGTGCATCATCTAAAAGCATCTGTATGCTGTGCCTATACCTTTAGGTAGCAAATCTTCACCAAATTTTTTTTCCATCATTTTTGGGCCAAAACATAAAAAACACGCGTCTCAGCATTTTGTTCTATGACCCCTTTTTTACGAGATGTATCGGTAAACATCAATATTACACTCTTAGCGCTAGTTACAGTGAAGTTGCATGCATAATTTATTAGATGGTTGTAACTCATTTTAGATGAATGAAGCTTACAATGGCTTAAAAATAAAAGCTTAGTAATATTAAATGGTGAATAACTACGAAATGTAATTTTTTTAAATTTTCGTTGCGTTTCTCCAAAATCCATGTAACAAATTATGGGCACTAAATTGAACAACTTTTATTTTAATTCATACGATTTTATTTCAACTTTTGTTTAGACTGGAACAATTAAAATTCAGGAGCTTACCCATATACTTACTAGCAACATAAATATATTTACAGCAAAATAAAATTCACCATTACAAAAGTAAATAATTAAACAAATTATTTTTTAACTATCCTTTTTTAAACCCAATTTCGAAGTTGATACGAGTTGATCTGAGAAAGTTGCGGTAGAATCAATCTTACAAAACATATTTATGCTTTTATCTAATCAACAAGTGTTTCGTCGCCAATCGATCGTACATGTTTAACAAACAAGTGCAATCATTTATTCTAAAAAATATGTATTTAAAGCTTATTTTAAAAAGCACTATTACAGAGTTAAAGAACATTACATCTTTAAACTCACGAGGTATCGGATAACATGACTTGTTGTACAAACGCAGATTTGAGTATTCAAAAGGTGATTTGAGGCTTGAAAAATTCTTATGCTTCGCAACAATACGCATTACATGTTTTGTTATTTGAATCGTTATTTTCTTTCGTTCCATGCGTTTGAATACTACATACTTGATGCGCGTGCTGGGTTACGAGTTAAGAAAAAATTTTTCCAAAATATTGCTTGAAATCATATCTGTTTTAAGAACGTCTATGTTAGATCATCCACATGTTTCAAAAACTATTTTGACAACCCTCATCTGTCGTGGTAACGTCTTTTAATGAATTAAATGTAACTCAGTAATTTTTTTTTTTTTTTTTTTTTTCATAGTTTGTGTTAATTTCATACCTATTTAATCGCAGGAGTAAACGAAGGACTTAATTTTATTTTACCATACATTTTGGTCATTTTTTGCCTCGAATAATTGCTTGTTTGGATTTCTAAGTCTTTCGTTGATTACCACTTCATTGACAATCAGTTTAGTTCGATAAACGCGTGGAAGCATCGTCATATTCAAACTCATGCCGGATAAAGCTATTCCTTTCAAATTCACTTCTGATCTATTAAGCTCCTAGATCGCTAATCCTATGGGAAAATCCATATGTTGGCAACATCATTCACACATCATACACTTTCAATTAAAATTAAAACCCCTTTATACGACTACAAAAAAAAAAAAAAAAAAAAAAAAAAAATATTTCTATGATTTGATACTTAATTTTTTACATTAAAAACCACTTTTCATGAACGTGCAACCACCATTTTCCATCACGTGCCATTTATACATTATTCGCTTTTGTAAAAGGATCGTCGATGGCCGAGCGATTGAAAACTTGTCGCGTCCGTTGAACGCCTTCGTAAAAACGGAGCCGAGACACGTAATGCACGCCGAGATTCGAAGGGTCTGATTAAAGTTTTACGAGCCCCATAAACAAAGACTTTATGGGCCCTCGACGACGTTGCGTGGATGGTTACATTGGCGCGAATGTAAAAAAAAGTATATCCCCCTCCCTCCCAGAGTGGAAGTAAAAAAAAAAAAAAATAAAAAAAAGAAGAATAAATAAATAACACAAAGGGCAAGGCAGATGGTAGAAAAATTAAAGATGCGACGCAGTTGGAGTGCCATTGTATACCATGAGGGTGGTGTTGTAGCATGTTATACATATATGTATATTTTTTGTGGTACCTACTATAGACTGCCCATGACAAGTGCTGTAACGATTTAAACGCCACACGCACTCGGTATTAGGTGCTCGTGCGTATTAATCAAGTATAGTGCAATCGAGAAATCTCGTCTTACGCAGCTTCCACATGTTGTATACCTATAGGATTTTCACTTCGCTATAACTGTGATTCGAACTGACGGTTGAGCGGTTTAGATCGTGTTTTTTTTTTTTTTTTTTTTTTTCTCGGTTTTGAAAAGCTCCGTGTACCGATTGATTATATCGCTGGACGGATTAAGCGTGTCGAAACAGAAGCAACAAAACTTGTAACAAGATATAGGTACGAGTTTTGCCTTTTTTTTTTCTTAGTAGTCAACTGAAAAGATTACCTACTCGTAACATCGGCTTTCCGGATTCTTGAACCGATCTATTTTTCGCTTTATTTGTTTTTTTTTTTTATTTTCATCATCAGAAATTGTTACTGCGAAGATGTATTACTCACGACGAACAGACGAACCATTGATATAAGTGAAGGAAATGTCAACGATCGTGAAAAATCGATTTCCGCAAAACAATAACACGTACACGCTTCCAACGATTCCAGTCTATTAATACCGATCTATATATAATCGATCGTGCCTATATTTATACAATAGAGCCGTTCGAGCATCAATATTATGAATATAAATTGAAAGCCGCGTTTAAAAAAACCACAGACGCACCCGACGAGATACCGATCTCGAGCCGATTTTTCTGTACAGAAGGCGTTTCGCCTCGGTGAATCCAAGAATTTGCTCAACGACGACGAAACACAGCTCACGAGGGTGCACCCGTATGTACCTACATACTTCACATCCCATAAAACAAGGCGAAAAGGCGGCAGTAGACTGCGGTAACCGCGACTCATATATGTATATGTATAGGCACACATACATTGCATGTACGTGCACACGCATGTGCATATAAGTACGTGTGTATAATACGGCAATGGCAACTATGTGCAGCCAGAGAATAAGTACATACGTGCAGCAGTATATAGAGACTTCTCTCCCTCGGCGACTCCCTCCGCTGCTCCGCTCTCTCGCGCCCCGTAAACCAACATATACGTATAAATATGTATATATATATATANATATATATATACACGTAAGAAAAAGCAAAGGCTAAAGAACTGCGGGGCGAACCATTGGTGGCGGAGCCTCGGCGCGAGAGTAAGTACTTATACTCTCTGCTATATGGGCACTGTACGTATGTATATGTATATGTATATATATATCCATAACAGCGGAGTATAAAGTAGGTACACGATACGAAAGAGGCAGAGAGAGAGAGAGAGAAGAGAGAACACGAAAGAGCGTAGGATAGGTATATACGGAGAGAGTTGCGCGGCGGGCTATGGATGGATATATCCTTCTGCAGCGGGGCACGAACTGCGCTCAGTGCGATTCAAGCCGCCAGGCCAGTGCCCTGACTGCTGCAGCTGGTGGCTCTTGTCGCGTCGCGCGGCTCGTTCGCTTGGGTTTAACGCGCCGTGTGTTATTATTATCATAAACGCGTCGTCCTTCGCGTTGCTGCGGCTTTTCCTTTTCTTAACGATTCACGATTTTTGACCGTCCTTACGCTCCTTCGTTTTCTACTCTTTTGGCCACGATTTTCGATCGGTTTTCCAATTTTTTTTGCGGACAATCGGCGGTGACCGGTTTATCCCCGTACGAGATCGGGCGCAGGTAGCATAGACCTGTTAAAAGAGAAGGAAAAAATCGGTTGTTCGCGTACACTCGCGTGAGAGAGGGAGAGAGGAAAAAAAAGGTCCGCCTTATCGGCAAGTTTCAAGTCGCTGAAATTCCTGTGCACTGACGAAGAACCGGAGAATGAGAACACACAAGTTTGTACGTATACGAGTATATATGTGTGAGCAGGAAGGAAGTGAGGCCCATTAAGCGCAACATGACGTTGACGCTCTGAGAACCAAAAAACCAGGCAGTGGTGATACTTGATATCATACATACACGCGGCAAATGCGATGTGCATTGGTGCAATGAGTGCATTTTCTACCTAATGGCATAAAAGCACCGGCTATTGATGGTCCTCTGTTTTATTTTTTTTGCGTCGA